TTGAGGAGGAAGAGGAAGGTCCCGAAACCGCAACAGAGGGTGTACTCGATGATGATGATGAAGAAGACAAAGCGGACCCATTTGAGGCTCATTTTGCCAACCCTGATGATAACATATTGTCAAGAAGGCTACAATATCTGGAAAAAGGACAATGGGCTCTGAGAATGTCATCACTTGCAAAGGTTGGAACGGCCATTACAAGTATCCCCGGTGACGGCGAGCCCAGGGCTATGAAGGCAATGACCATCAGCAATCCAGATAGTCTTAAGTTGAAACAAAAGCTAGCAAACGTCATTAAGAAACAACGCCCTACTTTCGATGCATTGGAAAGGTCTATAGCTCCTCTTATATTTGGCTATCAAGACTTACTATTCACTGAACGCAATACATCTAATGCAGAAAGTCTGAGAAGACTGACTTGTCTTCATGCTGTCAATCATGTATTCAAGTAAGTCAAACACTTGTCACTATGGAAGCCCAATCTAATATATTCAGGACCCGGGATCGTGTTATCAAAAATAACTCTCGCCTTGCCAAGGAAGATAGTAGCGATGATCTGGAACTTCGAGATCAAGGTTTCACAAGGCCTAAGGTTCTGATGCTTTTACCTACTCGCGAATCGTGCGTCAGAATGGTTGATATGATCACTTCACTGTGCGAGCCAGAGCAACAAGAAAATCGAAAACGATTCAATGATTCATTTGTCGATAAAGAAGATAATTATTCTACTGACAAGCCAGTAGATTTCCGGGAACTTTTTGCAGGTAACGATGATGACATGTTCCGTCTTGGTCTGAAATTTACTAGAAAAACCATCAAGTATTTCTCTCAATTCTACAATTCTGATATCATATTCGCAAGTCCTCTTGGTCTAAGAATGGCTATCGGAGATGAAGATGCGAAGAAAGTAGACCATGACTTTCTCAGTTCGATTGAGATGGTTATTGTTGATCAAGCAGATGCTCTTCTCATGCAGAACTGGGAGCATGTGGAATTTATTTTCGACCATCTCAACCTTCAGCCAAAGGAAGCTCATGGCTGCGATTTCAGTCGTGTACGAAGTTGGTATTTGGACAACAATGCCAAGTACTTCCGTCAAACTATTGCATTAGCGAGTTTCAACACACCAGAGCTTCAAACTATGTTTTATACCCAGTCTCAAAACTGGGAAGGCAAAGCCAAAGTCACCTCTACGTATCCAGGAGCTATTCAAGAATTGGGATTAAAGGTCAAGCAGACCTTTTCCCGAATTGACACGGAATCAATTGTCTCGGATCCAGAATCACGTTTCGAATATTTCACATCGGCAATAATTCCTACTTTGACCCGTAGAAGCAAGGATAGTTCGGGAACCCTCCTCTTCATTCCTTCATACATGGATTTTGTTAAAGTAAGGAATTATTTCTCAACATCAGCTACCACGAGCAGTTTATCCTTCGGCAGTATATCAGAATACACAACACCTAAAGAAGTAGCAAGAGCCAGATCCCATTTCTTCAGTGGGAGGCACAATGTTTTACTTTATACAGAAAGAGCACATCATTTCCGAAGATATCAAATTAGAGGTGTCAAAAAAGTTATCATGTATGGAATACCCGAGAATCCAATCTTCTACAAGGAAATAGTAGGAGGATATTTGGGCAGAAGTGTGAGAGAAGGTGATTTGGAACCCGGTGCTGGAAGTGTGCGGGCTGTATTTTCAAAATGGGATAGTATGAAGTTGGAAAGAATTGCGGGCACGGAAAGGGTGAACAAAATGATCAAGGAGAAAGGCGATACTTTTGATTTCTTATAATACCCTTTCTAGTTTACTTCATTTAGGTCTTGCTATCTTTTCTTGTAATATAGAAATGGAAAACGCCTTTTCCATGCAAACATGCAAACCATACTTCTATACATATACATTTGGTACTTTATGAACGCAATTTGCTCATGACCATTTTCTCTAATTGGATTCCCGTCAATCCTCGTTCCACTTTCCAAATCCGCTTGAAGACATTGACTTTCGTAATAAAGACCAATCTTTCTTTCGAGCCAACTTAAGAAGAAGAGATATCCTGTTGGCCGCAGCGCATGACCTCAAGTCTTTAATTTGTACATTCCTCCGCATTTAAGCACGTACACCTTGATTCCCCCGTCCTGTCCCTATACCAGTCTACCAAGAGACCACATCCAGTCTGTCCAGACATCCATCCATCCAGCCCAGGCCGATCTCCTAAATAAAACCACCCCACCTTCTTTCCCTCTTCTTCTTCCCCTCCAATACTCCCTCCTCCCCTGTCCCATCAAACGGCACATCCACTCTCTTCTTGTCCCTGCCCAACCCTAATTTTCCCACCCTCGTCACAAATCTCTCGAAAGCTTCTTCTCCCCCCTCGCGAAACTGCGTCACTTTCTCAATATTCCTCTCGGTAATATCATTCATTGGGATTTTCTCTTTACGGAATCGCGCAACGGTTCGGGCGGTCATCGCCCAGCGGGTATCCTTGGGACCATCAACGAGCTCGAGAATGGCGGAGGGTGCTTGATCTTCTTTCAGAGGCTCGATACGGAGAACACGGGTGTAGCCTCCAGGGCGCGAAGCGTATCGCTCGCGGAGGGGTCCGAAAAGTTTGGGGAGAAGATCATGGGGGGTCTGGGTGTGGATTAGTATTTATGTTTATGCATTTAAATTTTTATATAGAAATAAAGAAATCAATCTCTCCCAGAGAATACAGTAGAGAACGTACAAAAAATATACTCAATGCCTTTCTCTTCGAAGCCTCGGTATTTTTCTTCCCTAATGTAATCAAATGTTCTGCTAATCTCTGCGCTTCCTTCGCTTTGGGATATGTAGTTGAGATGGATTCATGGGTGAAGAGGGAAGTGACGAGGTTTCTGAGAAGCGCTTGACGATGCGAAGAGGTGCGGCCAAGATGGCGATATTTCATGCGTCCGCCTGCCATTTTCGTAGAGTGGAAACGAAATAAGTGGAAGGGTAGTCGTAGGTGATTTATGAGGTGGAGGGAGGGGAGAGGGGAGGAACACAGACGAGGCGGAAAACTTTTGGCGAGGCCGAAAGATTGGAGATTTCGGGCCGTGACGACGAACGTCAAAATTCTTGGTGGAGGGCCTTTCTTTATCTGTTTCTATCAACGACATAATATTTATCCTAGATAATTCCATCACACGACGCTCTTTCGAGCTGATAATTTGGCAATTGATTTTTTCTTCTCCTGTCTATTCTGGGAGATAAGTGGTATTTTATAATACCAAACAGCGCTGTCTGCGCACTTGTATAAGACAATATGGGTTTTACTACTGGTTTTGTATGGTTCCCCTCTTAGCTTTCTCGCTCCAGCTCCCCGCTCTCTACAAATCCATGGAGACTTAACTAACATATTTTCAAGACCGGCGGCGTAACCCTGACTCTCTCTTTAGCCTACCTGACCGTCCTGGCACATCAACGCAACCGCGCTTCTCAATCCCTCCACCTACACCACCAATCCCAAGTCCTGACCTCCCTTCTTGAAAAAGAACCCATCCCACCTCCAAAATCGCGCTCGGAGCTTGCCCGCGAAGAAAGAAGTACGCTTATTGAAGCTGCGAAGGATAGATGGAATGCCGAGATTGAGAATTCAGTTCGCTGGATCCAGAGGACGGATTGGGAAGATGTGAGATGGAAGATGGAAGGCGCAGTTAGTAGGGCACTAGGATTAGGATTGGAGAGAAGCAGAGAGGGTATTCAATATGGGGAAGAGATCGCTGGAGATAAACTGAGAGATTTCAGGGAGGAGGCCAGAGAGGACGCAAAGAGAGTTGCTTCGGGCGCTGTGGCGGGCGTTGAAAGAGGCGTTGCTGGAACAAGTGGAGCGATCGATGCTTCTTCGCAAAAGCTGAGGGAGGCAGAGGCTAGAATCCCTTCGTATCCTGAAATTGAACGGAAAGCGGGAGGAACAATTGATGCTGCTCGTGGTGGAATCCGCAACGCAGTTTCTCGAGGCATCGAAGCCGGCAAAGGATATGCGCAAAAGGCAGGTGCAGCAGTCGGAATTGCAGAGCAGAAAATCGAGGGAAAGGTCGCGCTTATTTCGGGTTCGAGTAGATCCGCGAACTCGGATGTGGAGAGGGCTTTGAGAGAGAGATTTGAGGGTCCTACTCAGTTGGATAAGAGTGTGCAGCAGGCGCTTGAGGAGAGATATACACCAATTAATCAGAGAGATAATGGAACTTTGAGGGGTATATGAGGTATTGAGATGAAATAAATGAAAGGGATGAGTAGTTAAGCGAAGAAGGAATGAAGGTGTACTATCAAAAGTGTAAATAGATAACGTTCTCTGCTATGCTATGATATGCTTGCTGAGTGTGCTATAGAAAAGTTGATTTGCTTTTGGCTCAGCTCAGGTGGACTTAAGAGGGGTATTGGGGACTTTGTAATACAATGCAAGTAGTTTTTCCTCAGTCGCCCTTGCGGGCTGACTTTGTGTCATTCATGATATACTGTATACAACTCATACCGAAGTGCACAATTACATTACACGTATCTCACGATGATCCTCCGATGCAGAGAGGCGAGCTTTTGGGCAGGCTACAAAGCTGCTTGTCACTCCGAACCATCTCATGACACAGCCCTCTCAGTTCACAATCATAAAGCAAAACACACGTCTCGAAAACAAAAGATATTCTGACTATCTTGTGGAATTATTTGCAAACAACCTCACAGTAAATCGAGAAAGCTAAACTGTTGGATGGCTGAATGAAGTGTCAAGATTCAACTCAACTGTCGAGACACCCGCTATGAAATACAAAAGTTGGCAAAATTTCTGTCCAACCACGTTGCTATGGCACACCATATGCAAAATTTGACTACTTTGGTCGAACATCATCTTCCTAGCATAGACTATCATATCACACTCCCAATAATGGCCTTGGTATTAGCACAACGACACATAGATCTCTTGGATCTTTCATAACAATTCATCCTGCACTGGCTGTAGTACAATTTATCTGGCGAGGCCTCTTTATGGTGTCTCGAAATAATCCTTGGGATCATTGGGACTCGAGCTCGGACCGATTTCAACCATAAGCCGCTTCGCTTCTTTTTTGACAGCCTTCATAGAAGCTGGAGTTGCGATGGAACCGGCCCGGTGAAGAGAACGACCTCGGGGAACTTCATCGCTCAATTTCATTGCATTGCTACCGGATGAAGCTCCACGTCCGTTTTTTGGTTTCATGCCATCCTTGGGTAAAAGATGACGAGAAAAACGTTCAGTAGATGAAGCCTTGTTTCCATTGTCGGATTTCACCACGTTACCTGATGAAACGCGGCGAGAAGACGAATAGGCGATGGTACCGGAAGCACGTCTGTTAGTAGGAGTGGGTGGTTGTACTGAGAGCATGGGGCCACTACAACGACGGTGAGAACGAGCCTCGACGCAATCATTGTCTTCGTCATCGTCTTCCTCGTAGTAGGGTGGATCGCCGTCGCTTACATCACCAGATCTGTTTGATATTAGTTCAAAATTCTTGTTCATGGGATGAGGAGGCCCTACGTCTCTTCGGTATCATCCTCCACAGCAATTTGCTTTCCCTTGTACTTCGATGACGACTCGTAATAATCTGGTGGATTGCCATCACTCAGATCACCAGAGCTATTCAACGTCAGTTTAATGTTTCTTCCTTACGGGAGGAGGTTCTACCTCTCTTGGGCAACATCTTCAATAGCAATTTTTTTCCCCTTAGACGAGACTTGCTTGGACGCATTTCTGGTAGCTAGCCTCGAAGCGACCATGGGAGAAAGTGCGTCATCCTTATGGGCTCCCGGAACATCCCAGTCTCTCTTTCTGACATATGAATTAAACTTTCTCAATCCGTCAAGGCACTTGCTAAATTCCTCGCCCATGACAGCTTTGTCCATTCCGATCATATGCTTCCATTTTGGGCCTTTCATCATCACGCAATCATTTGCGTCTTGGGCAGCTTTCATTGCAGCTTGCATAGCTGTGAGATATTCCATGGTTCCGTAGAAGAGTAGATCCGATGGGTTCTTGATTGTAAAAAGACGAGCGTATGGATCGGCGTTGGAGCGAGCAGCTCGCTTCTTGATATTAGTAATTGCGAAATATCGATCCTTCCAATCAGCCAATGTGAGGAGGTGTGCATGAAGGTCAGTCCATCCATCGTAGATCTGCACTTGGTAGACGCGGAAATACTCGTCGAGATCGCGTGAGGTGAACTTGTCTAGGATTATTAGCAGGAAATTGTGTACAAAAGCAAGGGGTACTCACCGTCAATCTCAGAATACAGTACAACAACAATTGACTCAACTCCAACCCAAACAGAAATCAATAACTTCTCGATTTCGCAGAGAACCTTGATCAATTCAGTAGAATCAGTTTCCAGCTTAGCTGGGCGCTTAATTGTAGGATCAAGAGGACGAATCCATTTAGGTGTCTTGGTCGACAAGCTGATTTGTGGACGTTCGTATTCATCCTTCCAAATTCGGTCATACACTTCCTTGGGAACCACACTGAATAGTGCATGCGCCAGAGTAAAGTATTCTCCTTCCTCGGCTAACTTATAAGCTTTCTCGTCAATAACCATAGAATTTGGTGGAGCCTTTGGAAAGACTGGAACGGTTAGGGCGTCCAGTATCGCTTGTTGGACTTCTGCCTCACTCATGATTCGATCGCTCTGGTCTTTGAGAGGGTCCTGCTCAGAATCGCTAGGAATTTGAACGAGATCAGAACCGAGTTGTCGATCGTCGAAGAGCGTAGTATTTTGGTCATCGGTATTCTTGGCATCACCTTTACCTTTGCCTTTTCCTCTTCCTCTGCGTTTACCTCTGCGTTTCTTCTTAGCTTCGCCAGGTGTAGCCGCCTCGACAGGTGTGCCAATATCAGTACATTCATCAATTTCCATTGCGTCGCCCTGAGCAGATGCACTAGCTTCAACGGAGTCATCAATCTCAGTGGAGTGAAAGACACTAACAGTTTTAGCAGATGATGTTGATTGTGCAGGAATTCCTTGGTTACGGCCGGAGATTTTTCTTGGAAGTTCGTCGTTTGCAAGTTTGCTGCTTTGTTCATTGTCCTCTGGAGATGCAACCACTTGCAATTCATTTTGATTGTCAACAAATTCGTCTTCGATGGAATCATCACTTTGAGCCTTATCTTTTGGCATAGATCCTGCAAGTTCTGGGGGAGGAGCGCGCCCATCACTATTATTGTAACGATTTCCATCTACGTAAAGCCTGTGTCTTCCCGCGACGACTTGATTGATTTTAGAGGAGGCAAGGCCAGCGCTGATTTGATTAATATGCCGTGGCAAATCGTCGAGCTTGGGTGTGGGCGATCGAGACAGAGTTAAATCGATTGTAACGCGCTCTTCAAAATTACGCTGCACAACCTCCTTAGCTTCAGCTTCTGGCTCTGGCTCAGATCCTACCTTTGATTCCGCGGAACCGGTGGGTCTGAAGGTTGAAGAACTCGCATGATTTGCTTTGCCTGGGCGGTCCTCAGTGAGGCTCTGCTCATCTTCTATCACATCTGGCATCTCTTCATCCTGCTCAATGGATTCCTGTATCTCTTCATCCTCTCCAGTCAAATCAATTGCTTCCCGCATTTCTTCGTCGGATTGAATGTGTGCGGCGGGGTTGTTGAAAGCCGGAGAAGCTGCAGCAGTGATCACGTTTGGTTCCGTCAAATCAACAAAATCTCGCATCTCTTCGTCGGCCCGAATATGCGAACCTGGTCTCTCAGTTTCGAATTTCGCAGGAGTCGCGTGGCTGACAACCTTCAGAGACTGTGTTATATCTCCCGTGTCCTGCATCTTTGTATCGACCGAATTTTGCCTGTCGCGACTGTGGTCTTCGGCAATTGGAGACGCCGCTTTAGTTTCCTGGTTTGAAATCTTTTCATTGGCTGGAACTGAAGTCGGTCCAAGTTCCAAAGCCGTGGGAGACTCGGCAACAATATTGAAACCATTGTCAGACGGAGAAGTTGAACCTCGACTATTTGGCCCAAGGTAGTCGCTTTCTTGTCCACTATCAGGAGGAGAAGGAGTCAAATTATACGGTACAGCACCAGGAGTTTGGAATGATCCAGTTTTTGTGGGGTCAGTCACAGAAGGGTGGCTCGCTGCAAGCACGGATCCAAGGTTTGCTTCTGCTAGAGTAGGAGCGGATGTTGGTGTTGGGAACAAACTCTTTGGGACCGAGAGAGAAGATCCCACCTTTGGGGCTGATGATTCCAATACCGGTCCGACAGGTTCTTCCATTTTATCAACGCATGATTTTTGTCCAATTGAAGGTAGATATAATTCCCGATAAAGCTTTGTAGCAAGTGATGTCTTGGAACTAGGTATTGAAGCCTTATTCTGGGGCTTTTTTGACAATGTATCAACCTTTATTGGCTTCTGTGTTAGAGGATGTGACTTTTCTGACCTTTGAATGTTCTGCTTCAAAGGTAAATTCTGAACTTTTTGCGAGGGAGCAAGCTTGAAATTCGCAGTGGGCTTCGCAGTTGAACTTAACTTTGTTATCAAAGCAGGCTTTGTGTTCGAATCCTGATGCTTATCGTTAGAAGTGGTTATCGTACTCATACTTGGCTTTGTAGTCGAAGTCGGCTTGGTTGTTGGAACGGATTTCACGGTCGAACTCTTATTAATCTTATCGCCGGAAGAGAGTTCTTTGATTTTGCTTCGCTTGGAAGAGTCGATTCTCTCTTGGGTGTTCTTACTGGAAGTGTCCTCATCTTCTTTAGGAAAATGCGTATTTATACAAAGCGCACCTCTATTGAGACGACCTCGCTGGTGTTGTTGAGCTTGTCTCTCACGAGGCTCAAGATTTTCGGCATTAGATCGAGGTCTCATATACCACTTTAAATACCTGAGATTATGCAGCGGTCCTGTACCTTCAGCTTTATTGTCGATCAAGAGGGTCGGATTGCTTTCTCTGGCTGGTTTGGAGCTGGTTCCTGAGTTTTGATTCTTGAGTTCTCTTCCTCCATCTTGCGATTTTCTTGGCGCATACACAACTGTTTTACCTCCAACGCGTCCAGTGGTAGAATCATCAGGAGTATTGACTTTGCTCGAGATTGGCAAGGACACATGAGGAGAACGGGTACCAAGTGGTTGGTTTGATGATGCCAAAGCATCAAGAGATCTTTGTGGTGCGCCAAGTGTGTTAATAGAATTGAGTAAACTTGGTGATGAATTTGATCGTGGTGTTCCTCTTGATGATGAACGTCCTCCACTTGCGATGTTTTGATGCTCACGGCGACGACGTTTGTCAGCCATCATTAATGTTGATGTATTAAGAGATTTCTGAGCTTCTCCACTTTGGAATCAGAACGTTATTGAGTTCAGTTGTAAGTTCAAGAGAAATGATTTGATTATGTGTGGGGGAGGAAAGTGTGATACTTTGTTGATTTCGAGTGAAGGAATTACTGGTGAATTCCGGGTGCCCTCGGGAACATGTGCCACTCACTCCAGACTTATTCCCTGCTTGAGAACTTTTCAATGTTCTCTTGTCCGAGCTTCATCAACTGTTGTGAGTTATTTAACCTATCAACCGTTATGGAAATAAGTTCTTCTTTTTTTATAAGACCTTGATCCTGCTGAAAATGGGGTGTGAAGTTTATCACAGAGGTGCGAGGGTACTAATCAAGTTTATTATATGCCTTGCTTGGAGATTGTTCATTGGAATTGGTATACAAAGCAGGCAGGTACCTCCCTGGTGGTACCATTCTGTTCATTCAGTCTCACAAATTTGGAAAGGATTACTAATTATACTGCAATGATTTGGCACTCAACTCAACCACCATCAGTCATACTGTTCCATACTTGGCTCTACTGTTTCAAATAAATGCTGATTGAATCCTTTTCATAAACTTGAACTTTCACTTTGCTTTTAGTCATCTATTGTTAATCCCAATCTTCTGTCATATCACTGTATAGGTACCTACAGTATGAGTGCAATATCAGAGAGTTTCTAAGTTCTTACTAAAGGTATTGATTGGATGGAAACGTGAATCAAAACTCTTGCCATAGATGAGCAACGTAAGATTCTCATAGACTGTCCCCAAAAGTCGAATAGTGAATCCATATGGAATTCAAAACTTGCCATTTTCTCACAGTAACCGATCTTTTCATTTGACAACAATAAATTCTCTTTTGACTTGGGGTTCATTGTTGTCTAGACAGTTGGAACCATAATCAATGAGCTGATCTCTTTTTCACAATCACCTCACAACTGCTCTCAACTCACAAATTGCTCAAACATGACTACATATTTCAGGAGCACCGCCTCTTCAGCCAGTAACTTTTGTATTTCATAAAACTTGATTGGCAGATATAAATACCTATTATCAAACAATGTTGAAGCTTAGGAGCCTTTGAGATACAAAGAGGTGTTCCAAGCTAAATACATACAAAGCATTCTCAAACCTCTTAATTTAGAACTCTTATCAGACAAAGGGCATTACTATCTAAAATTATCACAAAATCTCCTTCCAATATCTACTAGATGACACTCTTTTGGTTTAAATTTTCAAAATCGATCATAAACTCGAAGACATGGCATATAACGCAATCCAGAGTAGCGGACTTTCGGATGACGACGAAGATGACTTGACCTTCGTCAACGAAACTTATAGGCCATGTAAAATACTCTATGTAATGACCAGTACTGGCGTGTATTTGCTGCGAAACATCGGTCCAAATTATCGCATACTACTTGTCAAATCAAGATTCATTGCTTCACTATTGAAGAGCAGAGTCATCCCTCATTACGGCCATGACTGCGCATTATCTTATGGAGGTAGAGAGTTAGCAGATAACGAGACACTGGAAAGCTGTCGCATTGGGGATGAAGCAACTGTAAATGCTGTTGTGTGGGAACAGAATCCTAAGTCGCCTGGCTTCTCGGGCTATGCGATAGATTCGCGTGAAGATGAGCAGAAGACCAAGAAATTCAAGCGCGGTAGAAGTTCATTAGACTTAGCAGAGGAAAATGTATTTGAAGATCGAGTACTTTGGTGTGCTCCAGCTTCGAAAAAGCAAAAGTCGGTTAGATTTGCTGAACAAGACGATCCTATTCCCCACGCGCCAACATTTTCGCGTCCGTTATTGCTTTCACAAAATCCAGGTCCAGAACATTATATCATGTCAGGGGCATTAGGACCAGCAGACAGACCTCTGGAGTTTCACGATAGCTTGGTCCGAGATAGTCCATCAAGAGGTCTTCAACGAAGGCGATCTCTTGGAGAATTGATAGGACCCGTAATGCCAAAAACGTCTTTGCGATCCCCGAACTTTTATAGTAGTTCCGCGCGTGAGCCAGAAACACCCATTCGTGCTTCTTATGATGCTTTCTCATATCCTATTACGCTCCAAGACGCTTCTAGAAGAGATCTTCAAAGTAATTATAACCTGTTAAGACATTCGGATAAAACTCCCCACCGCGGAATGTATTACCATTCTTCTTCAGCTGCAGTACGTTTTGCTCCGAAAATTCAATATGGACATTCACTGACGTCCCATCCTTTTCCCGCAGTACGAAACACCGTGTACGTTCGACCTCCGGGAACTGGGCCAACATCTGGATATTTATCTCCATCGTCATTCCTTGGATCGTTAAATCCTGCTCACGTAACAACAACTCTGCCTCCGGTTCCACATCAACCATTGTTTCCTCCTACTTCTCAGGAGATACCTTCATTCAAACCAAAATCACCCATTCGACAAAAATTTTCATTCAAAAATCCTCTAGCATCATATGCGCCATTACCTTCGGGATCACCATCAATATCAAGCCTATTCATTCACAGATACCTTTTGTCTCAACGTTCAGATTCGAGTTCCAGGCCAATACTCGAATCAACTCCAACATCAACTCCGCAGCATCAGCCTTCGAATCCTTACTTTTTAAGGTCCACACCATCATCCATTCTCCAATCATTGAACTCATACTTCTCAACACCTTCACTACCGTCCCGGTCATTTGAATCACCATCTGTTCTCCAAATATTAAATCCATACTTTTCAAACACATCCCCACCTCCTCCGAAATATCCTCCTTCGCAGACACCATCCCACAGCTCTTCATACTCCCCACAACCCACGAATCACAATTCGATGACTTACGATTACTTCCAAGCCGCGCGAGCTAAAAGATCATCCTCACCACCCATTCTCCATCCATTAAATTCTCCTCTTCCATCACCACCGCCCCCTCCACCTCATGTCAGGGTTGAATCGCCATCAGCAACATTCTTTCCATATGGCGGTCAACCCTCAGATATTCAACGAGAAAAATCAACATTCGCATTCCCATCACCCAAAGCAGATTATTTGCAGTTTGATCCTTTTTCCAATTCAGCTCTACAAAGTGAATCTCAACCTGATATACCTGGAAGTTATCCTCCATCACCCCCACCAACTCGTCCTACTCGCTCACCTTATTTCCATACCCCTTCGCCTTCCCGGCCTCCTTCACCTAACAGAGAAGAAAAACAAAAACAATCCCAGATTCCCCGCATTCCGTCCTTTTACAACCACCATCCCCTTCCATCGAAATCTATTTCCGATCCTTTAGCTGCATCTTCTCTTTCAACACCAGAGCCCACACCCTCTCTCACCTCCACAGAGCGTCCCAAAAAAACACCACCCAACCAATCCACAGCAGAGTCGACTACCTCGAAACAATCATACTACTCTTCTCACTCTCCTCTCCCAGCAGGATCTTCCCTCAGAGGCGCAATTGCAGTTCCTTCGCTTGCATACGAGTTGCTACCAGAAGATTTCCTAGCCTATCGAACAGTGAGACAGCTTATAGAACTTCAAGGATGGGAAATGAGCCAGGGAGAATGGCGATCTGTACGGGAAGTGTTGAAAAGGTGTCGAAATGGAGAGAATGGTGCGAGGGGTAATATCGAAGTACTTGCTAAGGGAGTGGTTGAGTTGGAGGGAAACGGTGCTTGGATGAGTTGAGATATTAAGGTTATAGCTGCTAATATGTGTACTAGCGAGATGGAGTGGAACGGGAAGCTTATCTACATATATGAGTTTTGATGAATTGTCTCGAGATGGATAGGGTGAGGTTAGGAAGGATCAACATTCATGAACGCCGGCGTCATACATGTCGCAAGATATACATAAGTGGAACCAAGAAGGAAACGGCAAGAGTAGGAGCCGTTTACATGATAGATGATCTATTAGTTATCAAGAATACCCCAGGGAGTGAATTGAATAGAGCACGGTAGATTTCATTCTCAATCACTATCGAAATTTTATAGCCATGAATGTGAATTGCAAGCATATCAATACTCCATAACCATAACTGTACTCTATAGCATCTCCAAATCGTATTCCACTCATGATTAACGGAGAGCAGAATTACACTACACCCACTACACATGGTTGGCTAGTAGGCAAACACATCTACAAATTCACAAGAAATGAATATCCCCATGAATTCATTCAGATGAATAACCCAAACCACTGATCTTTCATCTAATCTATATCTCTCATCCTCATTATCACCTTACTCTATTCACAAATCATCTTTTCCATTCATCTAGATGAATGCCACATCATGTCACATCACATATTATGATATCCAATACACATATATAAGTCCTAACCATGCGAGAACATTTTCTCTCTATTTAACGACTCTCTCATCTTCATCTTGCTTAACATCCCTCTTGGCTTCTACATGTACATGTAAAACATAACAGTGTCATAAAGTATCATACATTCCTCTCTTCTTGGACTTAGATATTCTCCTACAAATATTCTTGTCAATCCTACGTCGTATCTTCTTCCAATATATCTCTACTACTATCCACTCTCATATTTTTCATCAGAGAAACATTACTGATTCTCTTCACTTTCACACCCCCTCCCTCAATTTCTTACCCCCTCCCCTATATCACAAGATGCCATCCCCACCACTGCCCCAAGACCTCCAACCCAAAACTAAACCCCCTCATCGAGCCTCCGAAACCGAAGAAGAAAGAGCTGCTCGCCACCTCGCACACCGTGAAAAACGACGTCAACAAAGGAGACTAACTGCCCGCTACGATGATTCCGAGCTTGGAGATAGGAAGATCGAGAGAGGTGATGAGGGAAAGAGTGATAAGACTGAGAAAGAAGAAAAACAGGGGCTTTTCAGTAAGAGTCGAAAGAGTATTGGAAGGGGAATCATGGCGTTGGGGAAATGTGTGGCGGGGAATGGAGATGGAGATGCAGAGGTAAAGGGGATGAGAGAGAAGATAAAAGATGTTGGTGATAGTAAAAAGGGTGAGGATGAGGAATATAGGAGAAGACGAAGAAGACGACGTAGTAGTGTGGAGCAAGATGATTATGAGGAGAAGAGAGATAGAGATAGAGATGATAAGGAGAGGAAAGTTAGGTTTGATACTAAATCTCTTGCTCCAGAGGACAAGCTAAAGGCCGAGCGAGGCAGAGATACGAGGGAGGGAAACTCTCGTAAGCCTACACCTCTAGCTAAATCATCACCCTCTCCTCCTCCTCATAGAACTCCATCCCCCACAGCGAAAGAAAAAGAATCCCAAATCCTCGCGAAAGAAATCGAAGAACGCAATCTTGCCGAAGAAAGAAAGCTACACATCGCCCAACGAGCTCGCGAAGAACGCACCAAAGCCGAACAAGAGAGAACAGCCCAAGCGATCTCAGCCGAGAAAGCTCAAAAAGAGAAAGAAGAATGCGAACGCATCTCACGACAAAATCTCTTACTCCAGCGCGAAAAGGAAAAAGAGAGAGAAAAAGAGAAAGAAAGACAAGAAAATCTCCGTCGAGAATCAATCCGTAAAGCCACCGAAGAGCGGCTCGCGCGAGAGAAAAGAGAACAAGAGAGAAATCTTACTCTTCAAAAAGAACGAGCCGAAAAAGAACGTCATGCTCGCGAAGCTCAAAAAGAGCAGGAAACCGCTCGACGTTTGCAAAAAGAACGAGCGGAAAGAGAACACCAAGCACAACTTGCACGAGAAGAAAAGGCACGTCAAGAACGAGAGCAAGAAAAAATCCAGCAAGAGCGTAAACGTCAAGAAGCTCTCCGTCTCCAACAACAGAAAGAACAAGAACTCGAAGCCCAGCGGCAACGTCAAGCACAAGCACAAGCCCAAGCCGAAGCCGCCCATCTCCAAAAACTCCAAGTCCAACGCGCCGCTCAAGAAGCCGAAATTGCAGCCGCAGCTGCCCGTAAAAAAGCAGACGCAAAAGCGAAAGCAAAAGCAAAAGCAGAGAAAGAACAAAAACTAGCGCGCCAACTCGACAAAGAGAAACTAGCCGCGCAAAACCATCTCGCCGCCCAACGACAAGCACTCGAGCTCTTCAAAGAAGTACAGCAACAACAACAGCAACTCGCCGCGCGTCAAAAAGCAGAAAAGCAGTGTGTAGCAAACGGAGTGCACGGCGCGAAAGCTCAAGCTGCTGCTCTGAAGAAAACTCCTCGCCTCCTCACACCCACCAATCTCAATCTCAATGTCAACCCCACCAATCTCCTCACCCCCCAACCCCCCAAATGCATCGGAAACATGGAGCGCACCATCCTCGAAGGCTACGTGCCGATGAGCAGCGCGGAGCTCCTGGCGCGGGATATCGCGCTGGGAGTCGTGGTGCCGCCCAGACCCGTGCGGTGTATTGGGAATATGGAGCGCACGATTCTGGAGGGGTATGTGCCAATGAGTGAGGAGGAGATGAGGAGGAAGAGGGAGGGGAGGTGAGGTGATAGATATGAGAGAGATGGATGAATGGGGTGAGATGGTTGAGGATGGGAGGGAGGGAAGGAAGGAAGACAGAGGGGAGGTGTTATTGTTTAGCCTGAATATTAATTTTTCAACATGCATGATGTTGAGATCAACCGCGTATTTCCATTACCTAGATGTCTCGTGGTTGTATTCAATACAATTGAATGGTACCTGTGCCTTCATGCCTATAATATACCTATGCATACTCCTCAAGACGCCTATATCCACCTAGTCCGCGACCAAAATGCTCAACACCTAACCTCAATCCCACCTCTACTAACCGTCAAATATTTAACCCCCTTGTAAGGTTTAACTCCCTCGCCAATCCCTCTACTCTTTCTCGTATCAACCGTCAAACTTTCCACTTTAATACCACTGGCCAGCCACCCCTTAACCGAAAAACTGACTGCGGCGGAACTAGGCATCATAATTTTATTCTGCGCTACTTTCCTTGCATCTTTTCCTTCGTTGTTTGAATTATTTTCTACCTTTGCTTTCTCTGGAGCGCTTTGATATGTTTCTGTATCATAGTCGTATTCACCATCAAGTCTGAAACCATTTCCATCATATTCTTCTTCGGTTGATAACGGTCCCACAACTGTACATCGTAATGTGGCACCACCTGCTACCGCATCTCTAGCTGGTATATGCCATTCTAGATTCTTTTCACCTGGGTTATATGTTGTATCGCCTCTACTTGCTTTAATCTCCGATAAATTCCGTACATCAGCTGGTAGTGGCACTGTGACTACTAAATCTTCGATAATGGGTGATGTGCTGTTACCAGTACTGCCACCAAAATTTCCACCGAGACCACCGCTAAACTGTGATGCAGCCCTGCTTAGTTGTCCTGCCGCATTGCTATTGCTTCTCGAACTGGAACCCGAAGATATGGAAGAGTTACCCTGGCCAGAAACCTTGACAATGAATAACCGAACCTCGAAATCGGATCCGGTGGGACCAAGACTAGTTTTGACTTCAATATTGACGGGTAATTTTAGATGAGATGCATTAGTAGTCCCAGATTTTCCGCCTGTAGAAGGAAGTAAATCAACTTCATATCCAGCTAGAACAAATCGTCCATCAGGCGGTACAAAGCTCAACTCCCCTGGCTTTTCTCTCCATCTCGCTAATCTGACACACGGGTGGAATACTGGTAATTCCATAACACTGCTAACGTTTTGTCTACCGGATGGTGTGGATAAATTCAAGAGTAGGTCTGGAACGCCAGAGATTTTTGATGTAAAAGCAATAGTTCCATTCGCAAATGCAGCCAATGGACGACCAGACGGCGCAAGAGTAACAGTAAGTGTTTCAACCAGATCCACATATAACTCATTCGAAGTATGTCGTACATTTGCTCTTCTCCATGGTAAAGCTGGTGTATTCGCTGCGAGTGATCCTGTAGACGACAATCCAGACATGCCTGAACTAGAGGGAGTTGCAAAGCCAGGTTTTCTATGATAGATATCTTAGTTATATTCCAAAACTTCAATTGGATCCCAGAAAGATAGATTTACGAACCCAGGAATATTGATACCCCCCAAGAACTTCCCAATCCACCCCTCCACCTCCACCATATCCCTCAACGCATTAGGTTCCGTCGAGCTCACCGTGCCCGCATCGCACATCTCATTTAGTAACTGAGCCACTACATCATAGCTACTCTCTATCTTTTGCGCCAATAGCGGCGCACCCACAAATTCCTCTAACACATCGATCACGCGGTGTAAGAATTCGAGGGCGAGGAGAGGTTCGATTTCCGAGGAAGATGTGAGACAGAATAGTAGATTTGAATGAATGAGATTAAAGAGTAGAGTGGGCGGAGATGTGTTTGGGAGATATATTAGACTTGGTCTTGGAGCTGGATGAGCGAGGTAAAGAGGAAGAAGTTGTATGGAGGAGAGGGGGCGCGAAGTGTAGGTATTTTGGAGGAGAGGTCGACTGTATAGATGATTAACATGGAAGCTTGGGGGTTTGCGAATATGGGAGCCAGCGAGTAAGGGAGCAGAGAACGAGCGAAGCAGTGAAGCAAATAGGATTATTTGATGGAATTACTCACTTGTGTTCATCATAGATATACAATGCCTCAATAGCACCATTCATGATTTCTATTTAAGAATAATATCAAGACATTTGCATTTGGTTTGCAACTTGTAGCTTGAGCAATGATGAATGCATGCTTGCGAACTTGCGGGGCGGCCCGCAGCGGGAAAGCGGCCGCTTCTATTTCTCAAGGTCATCAAGCTTCAATAATTATTACACGGAAATGACAGACAGCAGCACGAACATTCGCAATGGCACCTAATTCCGCACAAAGTCTCGATCGACAGGAAAGACTCACGGATGTACTAAAAAGAGATGAAGCACAATGGAAAGATGACTGTTTACCGTGTCGACTCACTGGTATATCTTCCTTATGTTACACTGCACCCCCTCATTCCTTCCCTCATGTCTTCCCCTAATTCTCCTCTTCCCTTTGTTTCCATTTACCTTTTACATTACGAGCCTGCCAGGCTCCTATCTACGCGGCACAAACTAACACTTCCTCAGGATCCTTCGCATTTATCGGCCTCGGAATCTACAGTTACTTCTCCGGACAATCCCAATTGAAAGCCCAAGAAGCGAAGATTCTGAAGAGCAAGTCTATGTTTGGTATGAAGAGTCGGCAAACTGGTATTACTGGTATTGCATTGACACTCGTTGGAATGGGACTTTGGAGATTGAAAAATTAGGTGCCTCTGACTGCGGGACGAAAGAATCTTATGAACGAGGCATGGCGTTTGGGAGTTTCGGGATTCTACTCACTCGGAATAAGATGATGTCACAAGAAAAGTTACGTTGAGAGGATGAAGGATAAGGAAAAAAATATGTGTACTATGAATCGCACAGTGGTATCTACAATAACAATACTATATAAGTAACGTACGCTCGATGACTCGCTCAAGCATACTCCGCAACAGCCTGACCTTCTCCGGCGTCTTTTGTCTCCCAATTTCTTTTCTCTTTTCGCAATTGCGTCTTCACAAAAGCCATAGTGATGCAAACCCAAACGAAACCGAAACAATATGGCAATCCCCATCCGACTCCGAAACCAATATTCTCAGGTAAAGTCATTATGATGACTGTCGATATAATGGCAATGCATACGAGACCGATACCCCAAAACCACGTCAAAACCATCATCATACGTCGAAAGATGGGGCTGACTTCGTATCGTCTCAAAACATTGCTTCGATATACGACTCCTCCTTGGCCCTCGACTCCACCGCCGTCTTCGATGATGGCCAACAATGCTGGACGCCAAAGTTTTCCCTTCTCTGTCGATGACATGTTGAATGGCAGTGGCTTCTTTCGCATTGTTTGAACCGCAGAAAATATGAACATGAATCCAAACCAATAGCATATCGTAGGGGAAGGCATAGCGCATAAGCGCACCCATGGGTGGTGTGGAATAGTTCCTATGATAAGTTCGAGTTCTACGAAGGTGATAGCAATCATGAAGTTGATGTGGAGGAACTCAAGCTGGAAGATTTGTTAGCGGCAAATTAAACCCATGAAATGACTTGTGTAGCTTACCATTCCCCATTTAGTCCATCCTACTGGCCTCCATCTCGGCGCTGTTTTGGCGCGGAAGAGTTTCAGGGATCGGAAACCATAATGTGCGAAACTGATCATTCCATATACACTTGTTATGATAGCGAAGACTAATTGTATAAGATTAGAACTGATGGAACATTTTGTATGGGAAGAATATGGGTCTTACTATCTTGTAACTCTATGTGTGTTCCGAAACTCAAGGCATAGTAATATGTAATCGGCAGACAAGCCAGGTCAAGTGTTACGAGAGTAAGTCCAACCCATAATATCGTTTTCCTCCTTCGATGTGGTGTATGCAAAGGAGGTAATGGTTCTCTCAACCCAAATGTTTGTGAAGGCGATGAATTTTCACTTGGTGTGTGAAGATTGTGTGTTGATGATTCCGGCGGTTGAAGGTGTGGCGTGTTTGTGTTTAATTCGTCTTGGGTATACCTCCTCTCTTCTAAATTCTGTGGTTGTGTAGTTGATTCTTCATCATGATGTCCATCTGAATGATTATGATGTTCGCTCTCTTTTATCTCCTCATTTTTGAATGCATTGAACTCCGGCATGTTGATGGAAATCGATTATGCACTTCCCATGGATTCCAGTATCATTTGCTGGAAGGGCAAAAAAAGCAAAACAGTACGACAAGGAACGAATGAGAAAATTGTCAAGTAACGATTCACGGATCTTTGTAGTATTTCCAATGGTTGTTATTGAATTGTGTGTGTATGATAAAATGATTGAAAGAGAGAACCATGGAGTATTTGATACTTACGAGTATTGTTACCACTGAAGAGCAACATTTCTTCTATCCGGTATGAATCGTGATCACACAGCATCAGGTATTGGATGGATGGCTTTGACATATACTGGGTGATGATGTAATTGTTGATCCTCCATTAAAAAGAAGTGGTTTTCCCTTTGGATTCCACCTAAAATAATCGCTTTGATTGGAGCTATCTGTCTGGGAACCATTTAACCGCAGACCAAGCCTTCTCAAAATCAAGACTTTCAGCCTTGGCTAAAATTGGCTCTGCAAAGGGTCTCGCTAAGAAAAAAAGCGAGTTTCCTTTGGAAGGTTAGAAGCTTGGATTGGTTTGGAGGTATCAATATCCACAGCCTCGTACGATACAGGATATCAAGAAAAAGATCGCAAATTTGTCTATTTACATCATGGCAATTACTATTATCGCACCAGTTTCTGCTGCGGTACCCTATCACACTGAAGATGAGTCTGATCATTCTGATGATGGAGGTGTTGATATAGAAGGGGATCTTGATATGCAACTGTCCAAACGGGCCAAGCATCAAGATATCGTTACTCCTGGTGAAGTAATCACAGATGATCCTCAATGGATGAGGTACACACATTTCTTACTCCCTGTGGTATTTTCAACTAAAAGCATAGCTAACATTCTGCTCAGAGGTCATGGCACATATGTTGCTCCTGCAAGTACAGAAATTATAGGAACCGTCGCAGGTACAGTTCAAAAAACGAATAAACTTCTCTCAGTTCGACCATTACGCGCCCGCTATACCCCAGAAATCGGTGATCTTGTTGTCGGACGAATTATAGAAGTACAAAGTAAGAGATGGCGTGTTGATATTGGAGCTCCGGTTCTTGCCAATTTACCATTATCTGCAATCAATCTCCCAGGAGGAATTCAAAGAAAGAGAACGGAAACCGATGAACTTCAAATACGAACGTTTTTCTCAGAGGGAGATTTACTAGTTGCCGAAGTCCAACAATTATATCAAGATGGGAGTGCCAGTTTACATACGAGAAGTTTAAAATATGGAAAGCTGAGGAATGGTGTCTTCATGGCCGTTAGTGGCACTGGTGGAGGTGGAGGTGTGGTTCGAGCTAGAAGACAAGTTTGGACTATCGATACAGCACACAACGGTGGAAAGGTAGATGTCATTCTGGGAGTCAATGGATTCATCTGGATATGCAAGACGGTCGAAGTAAAGGAAGGGGAAACCTCAATCACCAGAATCGAGGAAAGTGTTAGCAATGCAGCATATTCAAGTCAAAACGACGAAATTATTCCCGAAACGAGGACGGAGATTGCGAGAATAAAGGGGGTCATTCAACTGTTGGTGGAAGAAGGACTGAGGGTTGACGAAGATATGGTCAACAAAGCATATGGAGCTGCCGTTGAGGTGGATGAGGAGGACGAGGGTGAAAGTAGTGCATATGTCGGAGGAGAAATAGGCAAACGAGTCTTGAGTCTAATAAGCACAACATGAAAATATAATTAATATAGAAGAAATCAAATATGATCAAAATCAATACGAGTCAGGGTCAAATTGCCATGCGTGCGTGTACAGTACTGTATTGTTTGTACAAGTACTTTGTGCGAAACGTCGAGAAAGAGATGACTATTGAAGAAAGCCTAGGTGAGACGAAAATAAGTTGACGGGACCGATTGTTCAATAAGACGATTTAAAGGGAAAGATTAATTGTTGGGTTGAAGCTCTTAAATTTTTTGTTTGTTCTGGACTCCAGAAGCTCCGGAGACAAATTGGGAATCGGAGATAATATTTCGATTAAAAACCTATCATCTTATCACGACACACATTCTTAATGCACTTGATGCACTTATTAATGCATGAGGTCTCCGGTACGTTGGACTTTCTTTGTATACCAAATTGATCTAAACTCTCAAACAGTCTCAGACAGCCAACTCCTAACTTTTTCCATCCTGCAATCCAAATGTGTGACCCTGGGCATGCATAAATCCTATCGCCAAATCTCATTTGAACCACCCGTCGTTATTGCCGAAAGTTGTTCCTAAGATAGAAACAGTTAGAAGCCAAAGTCCGAATCTCCCATCTATGTAATAGGATAAGGCTGAATAAGCATGAAGTACAGAGTACTAGGTAGGTAGGTGTCAATATTAACAACTCCGGTCTTTGAAACTCCCACTCTATCTGGACGTGGCATTCATCCAATCATCCAATCATCCAATCATCCAATCATCGATATCTCCGATCCAACTGTGAACCCTTTTCATGCTTTTGCTGCCTTCAAATCCCTTGAGCCGTGGATTCATTTGACAACCGCATTTGGTTCATCGGAGTTAGTCCTTTGACTCTCTCGCTCCAACAAGGGTACTCCATCGTTCCTCCGACGTCATGCCGTTTTGAGTTCCGGTAGATTCCAAAGATTCTAAGCTCCCGCCGCTATCAAATTCTTTTTTTCGCGATATCCGATCACCATCGAAATCTTGACCGGGGCATCTATCAAGTTTTTGCAGTGTAGAACAAAATGGAAGACCAATCACGTGCCAATCATCACCGGATTCTTTCCCGGATAGGAAAGACATGTAGTTTCGGAGACGACGTACGAATTATTCTATTTTGACTTTGGCCCTATGGAGTGGATCGTAAACATGCGAAAAGATGTCATGGTTTTCGGAGTTTGGAGTTTTGCTGAGAATATTTGCATGATGTTAGGAAATATTCACTGGGTCTGGGGTCGATGGCAACTGGAAGGTTTTTGTATATATACATGAGGTTTGAACTCGTTTTTTATATTCTTCTTCTTCTTTATCATCACCATCATCAATACAATCATCACTTCAATCAACAATCAATTCTTCACATCTTCAATACTCACTAATCACTCAATCATCAATACCACCTTTTAAATCTTTTACATTTAATACTACATCTATCAAAATGGTTGATTTCACTGTCTTCAAGGGATCCAAGGAGGGAAAGATCGTTAAGGCTACCACTACCAGAGAGATTGGTCCCAACGATGTCTTGGTCAAGATCACTCACTCGGTAAGAAATGATCCCTCTCTATCCCATCTCAATGCAATTCCAAATGCAGCAATCCACCATTCCCAAAGTTGCTCGCATATGCAACCAAAGAATTCACGATTGTTAGCTGCATGAAATATTCTCCGATCATACCACTGACATCACATTTTATAGGGTCTTTGCGGTACCGATGAGCATTACAGACATGCCGATATGGCTCTAGGCCACGAGGGTGCTGGTGTTGCAGCTGTGGGTACTCCTTATCTTCCCGCCTTTTCCACTCGCCTAGCGGGATTTGAGAATTTTGAGCGGAACCATCGCATAACGCAGTGGCCACTGTTCATTTTCCATCTTCCTTCTAGACGTGGTCGGAAAATATCATATTTATGAAACAATGACTAATAATTCAATAGGAAATTGGATCTGCTGTTAAGAACATCAAGAAGGGTGATTCCGTCGGATGGGGTTACCAACACGGCTCTTGCAACGACTGCAAGCAATGTCTTACTGGTCACGAGACCCTCTGCGCCGACCGTGTCATGTACGGACAAGCCAACTTGGACCAAGCATCCATGGGAACCCACGCTGTTTGGGATGCCGGATACCTTTACAAGCTCCCAGATAACCTTCCCCGCGAGTACGCTGCTCCTCTCATGTGTGGAGGTGCTACCGTCTACAACGCTCTCCGCTCTTTCAACGGTGGTGTCAAGCCAAATGAGCGTGTTGGTATAATCGGTATTGGAGGACTTGGTCACTTGGCCATTCAATTCGCCGCTAAGATGGGATGTGAAGTCGTTGTCTTCTCTTCCACCGATGCCAAGAAGGAGGAGGCTCTTTCCCTCGGTGCCACTGAATTCGTTGCTACCAAGGGTGTTTCTGAGCTCAAGGTTTCCGCCCCAATTGATCACTTGATCGTCACCACCTCTTTCCAACCAAACTGGCATCAATTCATGGATATCATGGCTCCTCAAGCAACTATCTACCCATTGACTGTTTCTTTCGAAGACATGAAGATCCCATACATGCCAATCATTATGAACGAGTTCAAGATCCAAGGTTCCTTGGTCGCTGCTAGACAAGTCCACAGAGATATGGTTGCTTTCGCTGCTCAACACGAGATCAAGCCAATCATTGAGCAATTCCCAATGACTGAGGAGGGTATTCAAGAGGCCATGAAGAAACTCGAGGATGGAAAGATGAGATACAGAGGTGTCATTGTCGCTCAATAAATTTGAGGTGTGATGAAATTCGCGAATGAATGATTGTATGCATGCATTGGAGAGGACATTATAGACTGGGATGGGTTGAATTTAATGACACGGAGTTGGATATCTGGATGGATGTAATGATAGCGCTGGGAAAACATTTAGACTTATAGATATTCTCTTATACAATATATTATTGTTAAAACTACACTTTCTGTTCCTAATTTTTTTGATTGTATTCTTTACTTATCATAGATGAATCTTGTTTGTTTGAACTTTCTTCCTGCTTGCTGCCTTCGTTTCTCACCTACAACCTATCTGGCTCTAAACCCCCATTTTTCCTAGATCCAAAATTCTTGGAAGAGGGAATAGTTGAGGAGATTTAGATCACAGTACCGAGAGTTTCATCACAGTCACACACGAAAGAGCCAGGGTGGAAGCTTGGATTTTGGAGTTCTTGGAATAATATTGTAGGTGGGCTGGCTATTGTTAGATTGGGGAATGGATGGATGTTTGTTTGGATATTCTGTATTCTGGACTTGTGGTGGGATAGAGGAATCGATTTTGATTTTGGGGGTGTGCTGCTAATTACTAGGTAGATAGTGTGTAGGTAGTGTGTGGAGTGTGGATTATATATTCTTGTATTCTTGTATTGATTGATGAATAGCTTTGTAGTAATAAGCATGAGAATGAGAATGAGAAGAGGATTTTCGTTTGTTACAAGGACCAATCTATACAAATCTTGGATGTTAAAGCTATATTTCCGATGAGATGAATCGCGAGATTTTTTTCGGGGGGGGGGGGGGGGGGGGGGGGTGGGCACAAAAATAACTCTTGATCAGAATATGCATTCCTGGTACTTATACTTGTACTTACACATCTTCCAGTACCAGAAATGAGAGCACCATCATAGTGAAAAGTGAAAAAAAAAGAAAAGAATGTTGAGCATCTAATGACTATCTACCTACCTAATGATTTCGATTCCGCCTGACATTTCTCCGCGATCGAAAAGAAAATGTAAAATTTAGATATTGTTACTAGATGAGAGATAAAAGGATCTATGTATTAGATACAATATAATATAATAGTAATGATGATGATCAACCCGGAATATGTGGTATCGGCTTTGTGTTTTGAAGAAGTATATTATGTATTGTTGAATACACAATTCTATATATCTTCTCTGCAGATTATCGAAATTGGAAAAGCGTAACCTGAAACCCCGAGTTTCTACGCACGTATATCTGGGATCACCGCGGAGATCCACTATTCTATCATTATCATACTCATAGCCGCAACACAGTAATTCAAGGCCAACACGAACTTCTGTATCCTGATTCCTGAGTTATCTTTAGATGTCGGGAGTTGGTAAGGATTTTAAATCGAGCTGTTTTAAGGTGTTATATATTTTTCGTTGTGTGTGTGATTGGTTTCATCGTATGCTACTCATTCGCGTGGTATAGAGGCCCTGAGATCTTTGATGTAGAAAGAATAGTGAATTATTATCTCTTTTGTGGATTTGTCTTTAACATTGCTTATGAGATTTTCTTGTCCATATGATAGATAATGAAATTCATATAACTAGTTATATAAACAAGTAAAACAGTATCATAAGCATGCACAGAGTTGTTAATCCCTAAACCACAAATTTTCGCTTCGAAGGGGTTCCTCGAAGCGAGATTTTTTTAGAAGTATCTACTGTTCCAACATTGTTAACATCTTAACCAGAAACTAATCGTATATAGAATATATAATCAGAGCTATAGATAGATTTTATATTTTAAACCTGATACCTGTAACTCATAATGACCCTCACAAACAGCCACAGGAAAATAATACTGTGAAGTTCGTTCCTAGTTCCCATGCAAAGAGGTCTAATATCAGAACAGCAGAAAAAAACAGCAAAATCGTTTATATTCCTAATTCCCGGCCCAAAATCCCGCTTTCTATGGAGGAAAATCGAGGTACCTGGATAGGTAGATAGTGTGTATATAGGCTAGTATGTAGATAAAATGTGCAGACACAGAATCAAGTAAACAACCCACAGCAATCCGAAGAAACCCACGATTCGAAAATTTCGCAAAGGAATCGATCACCAAACAATTGATCAATAATACGCCAGTAAACGTCATCATGAACCCGTATTTCAATACTATCCAAGGTGCTAGTGTGGTATTCCTTCTTGTTCTTCTTACGATTCTGGTAAGTTGTACGCACACATAGCAATATAAGTGACTTATAAGTCATCCCCAGGAATTCAAGTTTCAAAGAATTTCGAAGTTTTATTGTTTACTCATCCTTCATATCTACCAAGTCTCAGCGCTAACATTCCACTTTACTTCAAGCTCCTAGCCAGCCTACTTCTCCCAAAATTCAGAGACGACCTGTGGATTATCGGTTGCTGGATCGAGATTTCCTTAAATCGAATCGCGTCTGCTGTTCGTAGCCTGTTTCTGCATGTTCGTGGAACTATAGATGGGAATCGAGATCTAGAGGTACCAGCGGGTTGGAATGCGATTAGAATGGTGGATTTGGAGAGTGGTGGAAGAGGCATAGCTGGAGGTGATGCGCATGTGGAAGAGAGAGTCGCGAGTTTCGATGGCGAGGAGAGTATTTGATGGAGAGGAGAGAGAATTAATATTTGTGGTATCTTAAGTGCAAATGGTTTGATCGAATGGATGGGTTGATTGGTGAGCTGCCATCTTGGGCTCTGTTTTGTTGGGGATGAAGGTATATTGATGGTATATTTAATCTTCCTTCTTCGCCTGAACGTGGAGTTTCTGTGCATCCCAATCTCTCTTTTGCTTTGAGTAAATAATATATACTCTCTCTTCTCAAAAGATAACTGCAGTAGAAGCTGCCTTGAAGCGTTAACGATAACATAGATCCCATTTGGTTGCTTCGATCAGATCGATTGATTTTTCAAATACCACTCCTTTTCTCTCCATTTCAATCAACTCATACTACACTAGAGAGTAACTGTGGGTTCTTTAAAGTATTTGTTGACTGTTAAAGAAGGTTTCAAGCTATAATTCTAAACTATTCTTTCCAAGAGCTCACTTGCGACCCCTTTTTCTGAATAATCCGAATGAGATCATAGTATACTTCGTAGATACGTTTTAAAGAATAATCTCTAGAACGCAGAGAAATCCCAGTGCCCATCCTTAAGTGTGACTTCTCCATTGAGGATCAATCTTCAGGTGGTATAATTTCATTGTCTAGTTTCTTTTGAATGAGATCAAATACCACGAGGAACGAATATTTATGATATAAGTGCGGTCATGTCCGTACCTTGACTTTGAAGTCATCCCATGAATCTGTACTCCCATTGCTAATTGCCGAATCTACCGTCGATTTTCGCCGTTGCTAACTTCTCTAGTCGACTTTCTTAACACAGGCCTCTCCTTGATTTTCACTCTCGAATCATCTTGTAGTAAGTCTTAATCGATGATCCAATCTTCTGCACCTATCAACCTTTATCTAGTTGCGCTGAATGCTGGTAAGGAACAACGAAAAACTCCAATCGTTGTCAGCCCACTCTCATCTTTTTTTGCCGTAGACTCAATGTTATTGCCATTTTGAGTGTTACAATTTGTGTATCAATTGTGAAACTTGCATGTAGCCATGTTTATCCCTGATATTATGATGCCTGAACTATGTATCTACCTATACTACCTATCTTTCGACACCCAAAGGCAATATTATTATTGAGATATTATCTACGCCGAATCCAATTCCCATATTCAATGTTCAATGAAAACAAGCCCATGAATCAAATACGTGCAAATTCAACTCACATACCTTCTCACAGCCACAATCATACTCTTCTTCCCTACCACTTCTTTTTCTCCCATTTTCCGTCTACTCCTTGGAAATAGCGTCCCCCGCTTATAATTACCTCATGCTTCTCATGCTTTCTATGCTTTTCATGTTTTTCATGCTTCCTATGCTCTCCATGATCCGATCTCGGGGCTACCAACCGTTCAATCTCCGCACTCCTTCTCGTCCTCCCAATATTCACACCATGTGGCTCCCGAAGACTTGTAATTGGAGTAGGGTGCTGAACACGGATTTCCGGAACTAATCTCTCTCTTCTTCGACCTCCAATCGTCTCCATTCGTCCACTTTCACCATTTAACTCCATTCGCTCAACACCTGATATTCCACCGCCGGCACGTTCCTCTTCCGTTTCCTGAATTGTGGCAGGTCGATATATACCCATATCTATTCTTACCGCAAATTCAGGCCTTTGTGACCTGTCACCGAGTAATTCATTTCCACCAGGTGTATGTCTACTCATCCCATCCCTTCGTATCTCTGGACTAACACCCAACAACTCCACTGCATCCGGATAAGAACTCCGGAAAGTAGGAGGGGTAGGACCTGCGATTCTTTCATGTCCATGCAGCATCGTATCTTTAAAAGCATCATGGACTGCACGTTTCTGAACATCGTTCTGATTGTTGTATCCGTTGAGATGGTAATTTTCGGGAGAGACGGGGTAGGGTGGAGGTCTGGGGTTGTTTTCCCATGCGCTGGAGGAGACGGTAGTGCGTCGTGGTGGAGGCATGACTGTTTTCGTACGATGATCTGGAGGAGATTCCATATGGCTGGGCCAGGAATTTTGGGGTTCGTCCCTCATTAAGAATGTAGGTCGAGATGGAATCGGAAACTCAGGAGGTAATGTGGCGGACCTGGATTGTAGACTTGAGTGGTGGTTGAGACTTAGGGGCAGTTTCTGAGGTAACGGGGGAGGTAGTAGTTTGCCTTCTCTTTGACGTGCTTGATAATTCTTGAAGAGTCTCCTATCCTCCTCGTGTTGAAGTCGTCCTCTGGGCGTATCTCCGTAGTAATCTTCATCTGATTCTTCACTTTCCAGAGGGTTGTTGATAAGTTTTCTCGCTCTTCGCTGTCGAAGAACCTCTTCCTCATTATGACGATTGATAATTTCTAGTTCTGCTAGGTGTCTAGAATTGAATTCTTTTGCTTCCTTTATTGCTATTGATGGATGCTTCAAATTGGAATGTGGTACAGGCTTTCTTGCAGGAATGACGCGAGACGAGATAGGTGCTTCATAGTTCGAATGCCGACGAGCGGTCAAATCGTTTTGTGCAGCAGCGTCTCGCACAGGGTCAAACTTTAAATGAGGCGACGGTGGTCGTTGACTGGGATATGGAGGTCCTCGCCGATTGTTACTCTCGTGTGC